GGGGGGGGGTATTGGGTTGCTTTGACTTTTTATTATGGTGTTCCTTTCATGTGATGTTTGCTTGTTTGTTTGTCTGTCATTGAGTTGAGTGTGGATGAGTATGTCTTGCGTTTTGTTTGTTTGTCATTGAGTTGAATGTGGATGAGTATGTCATGTTTCCTCTCACAAGACACACTTGAATTCCTTAACTCGCTGCCAGCGCTCTTCCATCTGGAACCCCACCCCCTCAGCAGCAGTTCTACGCTGGACAGACACGTGAGTACCTTTTTTCTTCTTTTTTTGGGGAGGGCTTCCGTAACGAGCGACCACTATGAGACAGCGGAAAAGTGGGAGAGTGGAGCAGAGGGGTAGGGTTTAGGTTTGGGCTAGGGTCAGGGTTAGATCTAGGTCTCTTTATTGTGTTTGTGGGGGTGTTCGCTCGTTACGGAAGTTCTTCCTTTCTTCTTCTTTTTTTTTCTTTAAAAGTTCACACTTGTGGGTGGTTAGTAGAGGATGCCACTGGTAGGTAGGACTGGGCAATGAGTCTCTTTAGCAAAATCCGGATACTATCTTTATGCACCTCTTCGGCAAATAAGATGATATGAACTGCTTCGGCAAATTTGGTTAGAACCACTTCGACAAGTGGGTAGCATCATTTCAACAAATGGGTGCACCCACTTCGGCATTCGGGTCAGGAAAAAAGAGAGTTAAAGAGTCTGAATTCGGATAATATCTTATTGAGGATTATCCTATTATCCAGATATTTATCCGGAATTTGGCCACCTCTACTGGTAGGTCCTACTTTTCTTTCTCTCTGATGTTACTGTCTTTTTGTCTTGATCCTTCCCAGCATTGTATGACTTACTATGGTAGAGCTCAGTCCTTTTGGAGGAGGTTTGTCATGTTACATTCACAGGACTGGCCTCTTTAACAACCTAATACTAATAGTGCTGATAGGGGAATGTTAAGATCCATGTACTTACCCAACCATATTTCACAGTGGATGGATCATGTGCAACGTACCTATGAAGCTCACTGGTATGCTTCTAAAGATTTCATTGTTCTATGCTTTGTATAGTCTTTTTGTCTTATGTAAAACCTTACTAAAATATATAACAAGATTTTTTGTAGAGTGCCAATGGGTGGTTGGTGGGCGCTGTAGCGTGGTTTGCTTCTTCTTTCCTGTCAGGTAACTATTGTCACTGTCTCTCTCTCTCCTCCTTTCTTAGTATGTTATTCTCTAGTTATAATATTAACAGAAACGATAGGGGGAAAGAAACAAAAATAGGGCCTTTTAGTGACATCCTCCTACCACCCTCAGAATCTTGGATTGAGCATTTTTTTATTTTTATTGTTTTTTTTTGTTCTATGAATGCATCATGTACATAAATGATATGCATGCCTGTATAGATTTGAATAGACATAAAGAGATAAATGCCCATCTTCGTTCATGTAAGTCTGTCTCTCCCCCCCCCCCCCGACACACCATTTTTCTCTTTTCTTTAAATCTGAAAAGGTGTTTGAGACACGTGGGAGTAGCATCGACTCGTTCAGTCTTTCATAAAACCCATTTATTTTGAAATAGTCTTCTACACATATGGTCGCTTTTAAGGGACCAGCGGGCTGACCCAGATTTCGGGGGTTTCCAGAAATCTTGACCTCCACCAAAAAAAGTGGGCATTGCCCTTTTCTATAGGAGATGTTTGGTTTCACTGGTGTGTATGTTTGTTTGGTTATAGAGAAAACTCTCCTTGTCTTTTAAAGAAACTGAACAAGGGGCGAAAACTTTACCTTCGATTTTCTCAAAACAGCATTTTCCGGGATAGCCCCCTTGTTCTTAAAAGCGACCATATGGAAAATAGGTGTTAAACAAAATGAAGTTCCTCTTGTCTTTTTTTTTTACTGAAATAGTATCTTGTTGAGAAAACGGGTTCTAACAATAATATAGTGTTGGTGAAGAGAAAAAACAACTACAAAAAACAGCGGGTGGGGCTGTCATCCCCGTTTCCCCGGCCGTGGTAGTGGTGGTGGTGGTCGGGAAGTCAGGGCCGTACTGTGGGGCGGAGAGTGCCGAGTTGGTCACTTGTAATGGGTGCACGCTCTCAAGAAATTATGTAGGTTTTTTTTTAGGGAGGTCCAATGAAACAATTTAGTAAAGTAAAGGCCTAATGAGAGTCAAGTAGTAATACATGTGTTTGCAGAGTTGAATGAAGTATGTCGGTTGGTGCGAGTCTCATTCTTCGTCTAAAAATACATACAGTAACAGATTTAGGTGAATGAAACATTTATTTTTAAAATAATGTCCTGCACGAAAGTTTTTGTTGTTGTTTGGTTTATTTTTTCCCCCTTCTGAACACCTGATTATTTTGACATTATGATAGTGTTGAGTGACGATGACGTGGACTGTTTCCGTGAAGTTATTTTCTCGCGTTGGAGCACAGGCTTTTTAGATCCTTAATGACCGTGGGAGGAGTTTTCACTTTGGCAGATCGACTAGCCGGAAGTCCGTGTTGAGATTCGTCGTAAGAAGTTCGATTTCTAGTTTTTGCTGCAGTTTTTGGGTGTTCTCATTCCCCGAGGCGCTACCCCCTCCCAATTCCGCGAAGAATTCACAATTTCACCATCAGTAGAATCTATAATATAATTCCACCAATTATTGCAATAGTCGCGAATCGGCGAGTGCACATAGATTTGGAAAGGGGGGGGGGGAAGTCGGTGGGTGTGCGACAGGATGCATTGCAAAGTTGCATATATGAATTGCAAAGTTGCAAGTTTTTTTTTTACCAACCTATCGCCGCGGGCCGTCACTCGCCACCACCCCACCCGTGTGCATTGTTTGCTGTGTGTTGACGGGCGCCGCGTCCAGGTGGTCAAGATTGCTCTTTGTTTAGCACGTCTCCTCACCCTCCCTCACCCTCCCGCCCTCCTTTTGATAATTTTTGGCCAAAGCTGCAGGTTTACGGACGGTGACGTTGTTATGCCGACCCGTGTCACAACCGGGTATCGGGAAAACTCGTCGGATGTCGCCGAAAAATCACATGGTTGGTGTATGAAGACGTAGTTCGTCGATTCTCGCGCAAGCCGCCTTTGTTCTTTACCGGAAATCGGGACTATCGTCCACTAAAACGGTCTTTTGTCGACTGACTTTTAAGTCGAAGCACAGACGCATGCACGCTCGCTGTGTTCATCTCTTCTCGCGTTTATTTTCTTCCCATTGAAAATACTAAACTTGTTCTACATAATTATCCTTTCGGATTCGGAAGGAAGTTTTTATTATGATATAGATCTAGGTGAAGCAATAATTGTAATTTGTGAGTCCCGCAAACCACGCTGGACTGGACGCGTCTAGATCTAATCTAGATCTAGATTCTAGCTTTCGTTGTTGTTTTTTTGTGCACCACGTGTGGCATGGCTTACGTTCTTCTCTAATTAAGTGGATACTATATTATTATAATGGATGGACGGCGTGCTGAAAGATTCGATGATGGCGGAGGTAGTGGTAGGAATGTTCACGGCCGGGGACGTGGTAATGGTGGACACCGACATTCCTTTGGCGGTAGGAACTATCGTGTCTCTGGCTACCAGTACATGTACCAGGCTCAGGCTCAGGGTGGGAATGGTAAGTCGGATGATCTTTTGAAGATCAGTGATGGTTGTTGGAGTTTGGTTGACACAGTATAGACTTCCTTTGAAGAGTGATGGTTGAAGTTTTTTTTTTTTAAACAGTAGACATGAACTTTTGAAGAGTGATGGTTGAATGATGATGATAAACACAGTATCGACATCGACAGTGTAATAAAATCTACAAGGTCGTTAACTTAACGTTAAGCATTATTGTACTTTCACTCTCATGCTCAGGATTAGGATATAGATATAATATAGATATATCTAGATTGTAGCACCAATTTTTCTTGTTCCCTTTTAATCCGTTTATACAAAACTAAAATGTTGACTTTATTATATCAGTCATAAATCTATTCGTTTTTGAAATAATAGTTTTTTAAAAAACTTATCCGTCGCAGTTTATTTGTTAGTTTTGGAAATGTTAAATTAAAAAAACAACAATTGGAACTAAAAATCTATATTACGCTAAGTGTAAATGCGAACTTATTTCCGAGCGCGCAAGATATTTTTGTTCACCTTTTTTTCCTTTCCCTCCCATTTCACGCTGAGCTACTAGGTGTCCATTTTCTACTAGATCTATAATATTGATGCGCTAAACACGATCATTTTCTTGTCCGTCGCTAATTAGTTTTTAAAAAAAATATTTAAAAGGTTTTAATCGATCTAGATCTATTTTGCTACGTGATTTGCGCTCTTTTTTTGGATCCGTCGGTTGGTGTCAGGGGGGCCTGCTTCCCTTGTAACAAGCCTTGTAGTTTAAACGTATACTTTGATGTTTTTTAGGTATGTTTGAAATTTTTTTGAAAATAATTTATTCGCAAGTTTTAATGGCTATATGATGTCACTTCATGTGGTGATATGCAGCAAATCATGAATCGTACGGCATTGTGACTATGACCCACAAAGCAGTGCATCTGTTTGCGGAAGTGAGAGGAAAAATTTACCGAAATAAAAGTTGTTTAAAGGAATCCACCGCAATTTTTAAAAAATAAATTTTTAAATAGAACTCTTTTACCCCCGCACTGTTTCATTGCATACTAGTTTCCGTGATTTGAATCAATGATCAGGCTGACTTGAAACTTGAACGGCATTTTCTTTTCACCCTTGTGGCTGTGGCATGCTTAGACGTAGGTGTTTTGTCCAAGATGTTGAGACATTCCTTCTTTTGTAGTAAGTCTAATTGCTGGTGTTTGTTGCCTGCTGTTTCAGAGCTGCCGCAGGGTGTGTTTGAGTACCAACAGACTCCAGCACAGCAACAAGGGCAGCAGCTGCTGTCTTATCAGGTGATGTGGACAGTGGGGGGACATGTTTCTACCATCTACGGGGATTGTCTTGTTCAGGAATAGAACTTCGTGGGTGGTTGGAGGGTGCTCTTGTGTGGTTTGCTCCTTCTTTCCTATCAAGCATTTATCGTTCTCCTCCTTTTTTGTCTTTGGTACTCTCTTGTAACACCTCTAATCTTCAGCACTTATATGACCTTATTGTGTTACAAGTGCTGTTACACTGTTACTAAAACAAAAAAAAACACCTATCGTCCGTATCTCCCCTCCTTTTTTGTGTTTGTTACTCCCTTGTAACACATTTAATCTTCGGCACTTATATGACCTTATTGTGCTTCAAGTGCTGTAAAACTTTTACTGTAAAACTAAAACTAAAAAACATTACTACTACTGAACTAAGACTTTTTAAAAATGTTATATGTTGCAAGTGCAGTAGAACTTTTAAAACTAAAACTAAGAAACCTTACTAAGACTATTTTTAAAGAATTGTATACGTGATTTCAGGCTTATGGCAGCGCCCCGAACGACATAAGAGTGAGCGGCGGCAGCGGGCGGGGCGCGGCCCCCCAGCAGGGTCTGGTACAGGGTGGAGCCTTCTACCAGCAGGCCGGCCAAACCATGAGGCCCCAGCAGAACCCCCAGAACCAACCCCCAGTAAGTGGGATTCCACAACTGATCGCACGCACAGACAGACACCTCACACTCACACACACGTAGACACATCACACACACAACTACACACAGACGGACAGAAACCCCAGACCCAACCCCCAGTAAGTGGGATTCCACAACTGCTCACACACACAGACAGACACCTCACACTCACACACACACACATAGACCGACAGCTCACAGACACTTCACACTCACACACACACACAGACAGACAGCTCACACTCACACGCGCAGACAGACACCTCACACTCACACGCACAGGCTGACACATCACACAGACAGAGACAGAAACCTCACACAGAGACAGACAGACAGACACATTACATACACACGGACAGACACATTACATACACACACACAGACACCTCACACACTCCCACGCAGGCACATCACACAGACAGATACCTCATACCTCGCACACATAGAGACTTTATAGAGTATCTTAGTCTTTCTGCTGTGATTTTGTATTCTTTTCATCCTGGGTTGGAAGCCCGCCTCCTAAATGATCTAAATTGTTACGATGTGGGCTTGAAATGCCTGCATAATAATTTTTTTTAACGCATTATATGGCAGATTTCACGGGGAGGACCCACAGGTTTCCCACTCCCAATTTTTTTTTCAGGATTTTGAACTTTTTCAAAAGGTTATGTATTTTGTATCATTGGAAAGGTCTTTTAAAGAGGAATTTAAAAATCAAAATGTTTGTTAGAGAGAGACAGCAAAGGCTTGTGAAAAAAGAAATCCATGAATATCACCAAATTCTGTATTATAATCCGTTTAATTGAATTCCCTGGCCACAAAAATCATTATGTACACAATGAATGAAAATAATAAAAACAAACAATAAACAATAAAAAAGGGAATAACTAAAAACAAATAAGTTGAAAAAATGGCTCACAACGTTGGAACAGCCTATAAGACCACGAAATCATCATCTGCGATGATCTGGGCGGCTCAAAGCTTTATCGGTGTCAAACAAGACAATCACAAAGAGCGCCCTATTTTTGTCCCTAGCGTCATTTGTTTACTTCCTTCACGTGCTGCACGTTGTGTTGCAGTCTTTCAATCATTACAAACATAATAAATATGATGGATAAACACGTGTAATTGGGTTGGATTTGTAATGCGTTTCAATGTAGGTGGGTTCTGCACGTTGTAGTCTTACAAAGGAAAAACTTGGAAAACAAGACAAAACATCCACCTCATCGAAAAGGACGCTAAAAAATGAAAGAAGGGCGCCAAACGGAACTAGTTTTTTGGCCCGGCTTCGCGGAAAGCCCTCGGGATTTTCCGTAAATCTCCAAGAAATGCCGATCCCGGACGTCGGTTGTCGTAGACTCTGCGGCAGGGGTGCGTCACAAAATACTCTCGAATCTACTAATAATTTCTTCAATTTTCGCAAATTATGGCTAAAACCGATGTAGAATTGAGTATCGCGTAGTCTGAGCATAAAAACTTTCATTTTGCTTTTGAAAGTAAATTTAGCACTTCGCGTAGAGTCAAAACGTAGGACTTACTCCTGCGATTTATGACCACCATTTCGCTTCGTCCGTTGCCGTTTCAAACCGGTGGTATATTTCCCTTTTTTCGCTCATCACATTAGAAAAACATACTTCTTGGGTGTTCTGGCCATTTTTGGAGAAAGTCTATCACAATATGCCATTTAAAACTAAAAATTGTCAGACTCGTGAACTTTGGGAAATGCAATAAGTCTAAATCCTGATGTCCGTAACACTGTTACGCAAAATATCAAACGAAATAAAGTCAGCACTTGCTTTTTGTTCACGTGTTTATTGGGCACATACACAATCAAAACAGCACAAATTGAACACAAAACTGTACAACAGGAGAATTTTATTTAAAAAATAAACCCTGTGTTGTCTCTCACACCCTTACCGTGCAATCCGCCATATTCACGCACTAATGATAAAAAAATGAAGTAGTGTGGACGGGGGCAGACGTTGACTTGGCGGAGGCACACAATTGGATCACTCAGCAAATGATTGGGTAGGGAAACTCCACCTCTCAGTTGGTCGTTGGACAAAATATAATGGCTCTTTACCCTGACAGACAGTATCAGAAATGAAAGTTTATTCAAAGGTGTCTTTTTTCACTGGCAGTTGTCTCTGACAGTATTTTCTGATCTTTCTAGAACGTTGTTTTGAGTTATCATCGCCATTTGCTAAGCTAACAAATCAATTTGTTGTCTTTGGTGATTTTCCCATTTTAGCCCAAACTGTTGTAATGGGTCTGTAACAAAAGAGCTTTGGGGTCATGCTATGAAAAGTGACACCGGGAAGGCAGAGACAGTAACCTGCTGAAAAATGAATACTCTTCAATGATAGAGCTGGGTTTTTGTTTTCTTTCTCTTCCCCTTCTGTAAGAGGTATGTTGCGTCAATGGCTCTACCGCTGCGTAAAATATTTTTTTGGGGGGGGGGGGGGCATCTGGGCATCACGCATGTCACTTTTCTTAATATAACCCTTTAACTAAATATCCCAGGCTTCATAGTAATAAATCACAGATGTCGTATGTATCCTCCAAGAGGCCTTTTTATTTCTTCTCCATCAAAAGTGAACATGTGCATTGCATTGCATTCCTGACACAGATATGATAGCTATGATTTTAAATGTCTATTTCACAAACAAGATGTATTTCTACTTCTACGCTTTGCTTATATCACAAAAATTACTTGTATGTATATTTTTATTCTTCATTGAATGAAGGCTGTTGTAGAGCTCCCAATTTTTGTGGGAAATTTTTAAAAGAAAATCTAGGGTCTGGATTAGGCATCCTTACAAATCCTTAACGCAACATGTCTGCCCTGAAACAAAATGCAGCGGGAAACTTGAAATGTAGCTTTCAGGCCATGTACTTGGTGGTTTCTTGTGTAAGATGGGCATGAAATGGCATTGTTTGTAATTGTGTCGGCAAAAATGGGTGCCAGCCAATCCCCACAACCCAGAGCTAGGAAACTGCCGAGGACTGTAGGCAAACGAAGTCACATAAGCTGGCAAAAAGTTATTTCACGAAAAGGCTTGTTGATGATTTTGCGCCTCAGGGAAGCTCTGATTTAGGAAACAAGAGCAATAATACGGATATCTAAGACTTCGGCTCAACACTTTTCAATTGTTGATATGCTACAACTTGGACTGTTTGCCTACATTTATCACACAGGTCCCGCATTGGTTGCTCAACCTTCAGTTGGTCATAGCCCATTGTCTCGGAGAATCTAGCCGGCATAGGTCCTCCAAACAAACACTCAATGAGATTGACAATGTATCTGCCTTTGAGCTTTCTCAAATTCTGACTTGTGTAGCCCAGTGCAGAATACTGTAAAGTGTGCAGTACTGTAAAGTGTGCAGTACCATCTGCTCTTTCATCCGTTCTGTGTGACTGCTTGCAGATTAGGCAAGCAGACAATGTCCAAGAGAAATCACAATGTTTACAGCTGTCAATTCAAATTGCAATTTTACTGAAAACGGTAGATGGGGGGGAAAACGTTCAAAAAGTGAAATTTGCCACAAGCGGGGCATTCCCAGCTCAACACTGTTGAGAATGATAATTTAGAACATTTGTGCTATTTCGCCGAAGGAAAGGAAATCTGGTGGTGGTCCTGCAGTTTTTTGGTTTCTGTGGACTGCACAGAATGTTGTGTGGAGAGCAATTGAGGCATGTTGTTTTGGTGCTTTCTGAACTGTCTTTTGTAGCCTGCCCCATAACCAGAAAAGTGTCTTGTATTTGATGTTCTCCAGCTGAACTGTTCACAGCCGTAATATACTTCTTTGCCAGTGCTAATCGCAGGACACTCGGCTAACAGCGTGTTTGGTTATACATCTGTTTCGTTCTCCTATTCTGTGCTTGGCTTTGGGTTGTATGACTGGAAAGTAAAAAAAGATCGGGGGAAGTGACCTGGAATTAATGGAATGCCTTCTTTTGTACTAAAACGGCTGCTCTTTTCGCAGCGCCTAACTTGTCTTTGATTGGCACTGTCTTGATTACTGACTGCAGTGTGCTCACTGTGTATTCCTCGACTGACCCTTTTCACAGACATGTTAACACTAACCCCAATCTGTACACCCCCACCTATTTATCTAGCAAATTTACCACCATGACTCTGCTAACCTCCGTTTTCTTGGCTAACATTTGTGCTCTAAGATAAAATCAGGTTTTGCCTTTGCAGTACTACATAAGTACCCCGAACAATTTGCGCCAGCGGCCTCCCCAGCCTGTGTTGATGCTCCAGCCCCAGGCCCCGGGCTTCCCTCCTGGTGGTAATATGGTCATCCCCACCCAGAACATGGTGAGTTGTTCCCGCCCCCGCCCCCGCACCTAGGGGGCTGCTCAGTGCAAGACTCCGGCGTGTGTGTCACTTTTCCAGATGGCAGATAGCCCAGTCTTCCACTGAGCAGCCGATATGTTGAATGTGCGTGGGAAGTATTGCATAGAGACCTATCTCAAAAGTTGCCAAGAATAACTTGCGTCTGTGTGCAATACTGCCCGCATGTAGTTGTAGTTAAAGAGTTTTACAATACTTGCAACACAAGAAGGTCATATAGGTGCTGGAGATTAGAGGTGTTATTAGAGAGTAGCTTACGCAAAGAAAAGGAGGAGTTGAGATAAGGACCATAGATGTTGGATAAGAAGAAGGAGAAAAACCACAGCAGAGCACCCGCCTAACCAACCCGAGAACACTTTTTAGCTGTGAAGTTCTGGTGTTGAAATACAATGTCACGTTCAGAGAATTTTCACGGGATATCAGTCTTAACTGTATTTTCTAGACATCAGGGTTTATGTGTTGCAGGTTGCATTAGCCTGCTGGGTTCTGTTCCAGCTGGTTGAAATTGTGAAAGTACTGGCCTGCCGGATGCTGAAAAATTCATGGTGTTTGCACGCCCTGACAATAATTTGTTTCATTTGTTTGTAACGATTTTCAAAAGTATTCACTTGTTAATTCAAGTTCCCATAGATAGTGAGATCGCGACCTCAGTGCTTTCTTGTCCCATATCCATTTTTTTTTAACATTGAAAATTTGACTTCTTCTAAAGCAAACTCTTTGTTATGAACTGTTTTCACTGTTATTAAAAATAGAGATATGACAAGAAAGCACTGAGGTCGCGAGATGATACTGATTCTGATGTTATTTTCCTTAGTTTTAAAGATTTATGACTAAAAAAAATTGTTTGCTCCTGTTAGTACCACCAGAGGGTGCCCCTGTTCACCCCCCCGAACAGCTATGCCTTTGGGGGCACCAACAACTGCCAGGTGTTCTTCGCCCCGAATGGTCAGATGGTGAGAGGTCCGATGCCGGGCCCGGGCTCTGCGCGGAGTGCCCCCGCCCCACGGGAGAGGCGGCTGATTGAGATCAAGGACCCGACCTCGGGACGCAACGTGACGGAGGAGCTCTTGCACGGGCCCCAGTCGGCCGACAGTGCCGAACAGATGGAAGAGCGTCCGGTGAGTGCTGGCAGTTGTCGTAGCTTGTCTTGTTACGGATAGGGATACCTTGTCTTGTACTCACTGAAGTTGTCTTCAGGCCAATCCCAAAAGAGGGATAGTAGCATGTTCTTATGCACAGTAGATAGACCTGCATGTTTGCCGACAATCGCAACCCGACCCGCGAGCGGGCCGATGCTATCGCTAGGCCCACCTGTATTAGTCAATGTACGAAGTTCGAGGTCTTGCTGACTGCCAGCGCCCCCTTTTTCTCCCGTCCGCTTACGCCGGCGTTTATGTAAGAAACCTGAGTAGAAATACGAAAAAGGACGACGACCTAAATTATCTACTTTCAGTTTCGTGCTTGAGCGGCCCTTTTGAATTTCGTTTGTTGACTGATTGTTCAGATCGTGTGGATTCATTCAAGTCTGACTCACATGTTCGACTAGATCTAGATCTATAAGATCATTATAGACCTCAACGGAGGATTCATATTCCAATTCTATTGTGGAAAACCCTATTATAGGTTGTGCTGTAATATTAATGTTGGTAAAAAGCATTAATTTCATCTGGTGCGTAAATTATTCATGTAGAATCTTCAGACTCAGCTGAGTCCCTCTGTTCGGAATCGGGTGCGGATTTCTCAAGGCCTATTCCTATTCACTTGTTCTACTAGATTCTAGATCTAGATATGTAGATCTAATCTAGATTTGTTTAGATCTATATGGACGATTGATATTCCATTTCTATAGTGTTATTGTATCAAACCTGATAACAATGTAGGCCATATTATGCTCCTTGTTTGTTTTGAAGTGTTTTTTTTTTTTTCTTTTTTTCTTTGTTATTTTGAACTTGTGCTGGCCTTTGCGGGTTCTTTTTTGGGATAGGCCTAGGGGTAGGGTTAGACTTAGTAAAGGGTTAGGGTTAAGTCTCTTCTTTATTGTGTTGTTGGGGTGGTTGCTCGTTGCTCAGAAGTCCTTACTTTTACTTTTATGACACCCACAAAAGCTCTTGGGGGGGGG